GCTCACTGCTCGAACGCCACCAGCAAACGCAGTTTTCAAATGCCTTCATCTGATTGTTCGTTCCTTAACCTTGCAGATGAATATTGATTGAAACATAAAAAATTGATTTGTAAGAAAATTTTATTGTTGCTCTTTTTTTTTAGATGATCAGTGTGATGTGTTTTAGGCCTACAATTAGTACTTTATACTGAGATTCATTTTTTGAAGATGGATGTTGTGGCTTATCAGCAAACTTTGGCTCGGTGATGGTGAGTTTGAGTGTTAGTGTGGTTGTAGGGTGATGGTGTGGTGCCGATGGTTGTGCAATGACTTGGGATAGGTTTTGTGGATGGTTTTTGCAAGTGGTAGTGGTGGTGTTAACGGTGGTGCTGGTGCGACTGCGGTGGTTGTGCTGTGACTTGGGATGAGGTTTTGTAGATGGTTTTTGCAGGTGGTAGTGGTTGTGTTGTTGAGGTGGTGGTGTGGCGATGGTGTTTGAGTTGGAGAGGGTGGTGTTGGGTGGTGAGATTATGTGGAGTTCAGTTGGTTTCGGTTGTGGAGTGACGACTTTCATTGGTGGTGGTGGTGGTGTGGAGCGGCGATAGTGTTTAAGTTGGAGAGGGTGGGGTGGGGTGGGGAGATTATGTGGAGTTCAGTTGGTGTCGGTAGTGGAGTTACGGCTTTCATTGGTGGTGTGGCGTTGGTGAGGGTGGTCACAAGTGGTTGTGGTATGTGACCAACTATTTGGCGTATGTGACCAAAATTTGGTAATCTGTGACTAAAAATATAATTCGTGACCAACCATTTTGTTATCTGTGACTAAAAATTATGTAATCTGTGATCGTGAAAAAATTTGTGACCAACTAATTTTGAAATATGTGACCGTGTGACCTATAAATTTTGATATGGGATCAACGAATTAATTGTGACCTACAAAATTTTTAAGCCGTGACCGTAAAATAATCCGTGACGTATAAAAATTATTATTTATGACTAAAAAATAATGTGACTAACTAAATTGTAAATTTGTGACTGTGTGACCTATAAATTTTGATTTGTGACCAACTAATTTT